AAGGTGTCTGGGCTATTGGCATGGTCCAAAAGGCCAGCCCACCCAGCGAGGTACAAGGGGGCTAATTCTAAGTACAAAAGTGGCGCCTCACCAGAACCGAGGGATAAACCACTATCGTACTACAGTACTGTCTTACATTGCTTGCTTGGTGTCCAACGTAGCGTTTTCAAGAGCCTAAAATCCCCTCTCTACGATGGACGTCAAAGTAAGCTTCCCGATCTCATTAAGATAAGACTTCATTCATTGTCATTTTACATCCACTCCACAAGTTGCTGATGTGATCGAAGACGTTTGCGTCGACTGGGTCATTCGTCGCTCCTGCTGCAGCAAAACAGTCATTTTGGGGGACGACATCTATCAGTGTCCTCTAGACAGTCGTAACGATGTGGGAATGGCAAATATGTGTCGACAGCACCTCTTTGAGCTGGACTTCTTCCTCTCTCGAGATATCACCTTCGATTGCTTACTCTACTCTACGAGTAGGTTTTCAAAAGGTTTTGTCATCAGTGCTTAGCGTGTGCCACTTTTCGACAAGCCGGTGGCGGTATCACCGAATGGAAGACCTGATGTTGGTCAGTTACCTCTATAATCACCACCATCCACTGCAGTGGTGGCAGCGGAGACGAGGTAGTGGACAGTCTGAGTGCGTTATGTCTGCATGACGTGAGTAATATCATGCTTTTACTTTTAGGCCTGCCTTGCCGACCTTGAGGAACACTGCTCCCCACCAAATTGCTCTCCTGCTAACGTTAGTAGCGAAGAAGCTGAAGGGGAGTATGAACTTGAAAGGGATATGAGCTGTCTCGGAGACAATATGGATCGGCTTCAGTTTTGTCCACGCCATTACCTACACTAATCGCGGATATTACATTAACCTCTTGGTTTACTCAACACTGGAGTAACTACCTTTTGTGTTTATATTTTTTAGCTTATTTGTTAGGCAATTTATTAGCTCACATTATCACAGTTTTGAGTTCGGTTGCAGCCATTTGATACTTTTGTGTAGCTTCAGGTCGGTGGCACTCAACGAATCAATGATTTTTATACACAATGCAGCCCGAAACTAAAGTACACTTCAATCAGAGTCGATTTACCAAGTCTATCAAAAGACGAACTGATATTGCAATATTTTATTGAAATGTAGTTTGTATAAACCACCTCTGAAAGTGTTTCAAGAAAGTAGAACTTCATTTTAAGGTGTTTCATGTTTTAGCATTCTCACAAATTGTTGATGCGGTTGTATTTTGAAGGAAGGCAGTCAGCGTTTAGTTGACGGTTTTGTCTCCTCAGTGCCGTAAAACTATCTCTCCACATTCTTGTTTTTCGGATAAAGACTAATTGCTGCTGTAACTCAAGAAGATTAGAATTTTACTAGTATGGTACGACTTAACTCATGTTTTTTGCTTTCTTTCACTAATATTCCACAGATGCGAACGTATCCTCGAGTTAGCGCAGCAAATCTGCCTTTGAAAATAGTAACTAAGCTTGGAATTTATGGTAGCTAATGTGAAGGTATTGACGATTTTAAAGTCAATGTGAGAAAGCTCACTCCCATTTAGTGGTTTCAGGAATTAATGTATTGACATTCTATGGCAGATGCGACAGATACATTAAAAAATTTTGTCACATGTGGCTTATCAAAAGCGTAACAGTGTCAATTAAGCAAAACCATCGTCAATCTCAGTCACTGCCTTGGTGTGGCTTTTAAAACGCCCATACGCATTTCTCAAGAGACCTTTGTTTATGCCCAGAGTATTCTAGTCGATAGTTGTGGAGTCAGATACTTGCGGTCTAACGGTCGTCGCATTTTTATCTTGCTATTCCCAGTCTGTGCAAAATGTTTGAGGAGCGAAGTTCTGCTGAATCATTTAGAATCTTTTTTGTACGGCCCTCTCACTCCATTACTTGGCGTTCATCCCTAGTTTCTAGAAGTAGTTGCGACTTGATCCTAATATTTGGTGGGTGAAATTGAGAAGGCATTATGTAGCTAATTTGGACAGGCTCGGTGCTTTTGTCAGCTTAACTGTTTTGGATTTTTTTCTCTTTTCACCACTTAAGAGTTTATTTACGCCTCCAAAGTCAAGAATTACTGTAATTGGGACTTAGACGGCAAGATTGAGGGATTAAAAATTATTAATGACTGAACCAATTCGAAAAGTCATGTTTGCTCTTAAATGACTGATGCACGCTGCGTATCGGCATTGCATTGCGATGGGTTGAACAAGGGAGGGATAGGAGAGGCACCGGGACTTCTCGTAAATGTTTGCGTTCATTGATCAGTTCTCCATGTTCAGTCCCACCTGCAGCCATTGTACCGCAAGGAGCTGATGCGATACGTACGAGACGTGGAAGAAGAGCCTAACCTTGACCACGGTTTTGCGCGTCTTTGCTTGGCTGCCGAGAAGCGCTTCTGTCAGAGAGTACCCAGTAGCGTTCAGCAAATCCTCAGCCATTCTGACTATGATACCGTTCTTAATAAAGGAGTCACCCTCAATAGCCTAAAGCTTAAGTGCCTCGTGGAGCACAAGACCCATCCAGACCTGGAACCCTAATGAAGAGTAGCTATTGATCACTTCCAGATCCTTAGTAAGTCCAACTTGAATGCCAGTCATTCGTGCACTCTACCAATAGTTTCATTTAACAGCTGCGATTCTGGTTCTACTCGCATGGACCTAGCTTATGTGCTGAGTGGTCTATTCGCTTCGGTAGAATTTCTTATTGTAGCATCTGATTGTTTCGATCCCTCATTGTTTAGTTGAAATTTTGACCAATGCTGGCGACGTTGTGTGCTTTGTACTGATGAAGTTTCACCACTCTTGCTGAAGATTTTATTCATCTGCAAACACGTAAACAGACGGCATATCAATGTCGTCTCTACTTGCTTAGAAACATTGTCTATATTACTTGTCTTTGTGGGCATCGCGGCAGACCGCCAGCCAAGCGTCACCAAGAGCTTTTCGGTCGCGACCAGATGACAATGGCGGAGAGTCATTCAGATTTCAAGCTCATGAGCACCTGCATTGGAATGATCCACAGCCATCGTGGTGACATGTTTACTAGCAGTTCCGTCCTCCTAGAGTGTCTGAAAAAGGCCTCCAACTAAATGGGTGGAGTCTTCAATTCTGATTGTCGTCGTCTGTTGTACAAGTGACCTCAAATTCAACATCTCGAACATCCCTTGAACCCAGGACTCAGCTCCTCCAAATCCCTTTTCACTCCTTACCGTACTTTGAGTCTTTATCAGTTGTTTATTTTACTGCTAACATTTGGAATTCTCGACTCTGACCTCGAATTGCATTTTAACTAATAAACGCTTGATATTCATCTTACGGATTAATCTTGGTTTTCGAACCACACGTGGTTAATCTTGTCGTATTGAGTATATTAGAATGGTACCTATGAGGCTGTCGCATTTGAATTATCCTCGAAGACGTGGATTTAGAGTTACTGAGGGCTGATGTGCTAGCCTAGGCGCTACAGTACTGAACTTAAAAGTTAGGCAGTGAATGGTTATCAGTGTCTTATGAGCACCCTCCGCCTTCCCCCATTTTTTAAGATGGACATAAAACTGTCTTGTTCCGATGAGCTCAGAGTCGACAGCAACAAGCCTTTTAAACACAAGAACACAGTAGTTCGATGTCTTCAGAGCCAGTACATCCTAACCAGCACCAAACAGAGCAGGAAATCTCTCACGCACTCCTGTTCTAAGTATGTGCGTGAGGTGAGTCTCTTCGCTTGTGGTGGTTGGTGCCTATCACATCTTTTTGCTTAAGTACCCTTTGAAGGCACTGTGGGACGCTTGAGCTGTTAACGGAAATGATGTGCCACCAAGACGATGACCGATGTTTGTATACACCGAAGTGCCTGCTTAAACAGACAGTTTGAATAAATAGCCCTTTGTTATGCCATGCAAAAAAGACCCTCTGCATGTGGTTGTGTAGAGTCCGGTGAGGTCGTGCTGCTACCCTTGCTTGCATGGGTATCCTATTACCAGTACTTGCACCAGAACTCCATCAATAGCGTATTAGATACACCATTCAATAGTTTATTACTTCCCACGGGTAAAAAGGAGGAATCGTGACATATCAGGCTGCTCGTGTATTATCCTCTGCTTTATTTCCCTACCTTTTTGTGCGCCCCCCTATCACCGCTCATTAATACTTAATATGCTATAATCGTGTCTTACTGCCACTTTTCGGTGATTTGAGTTGCCATGGTTTGTATCCATCCTGCCAGAACCAACCCTTGACCAACCGAAATGTTGCACTCCTCCCTGACCAATGCACCTAGTACCGTGCAAATACACATCGGCAATGAAACCTTTTCGATTTTTCATTACAGTACTGCACCGCATAGACAATGGAACAACGCTTTTCGCTCCTACTGGTGATTAACAGCAAATTGAAAAGAAACCACAAATATAAATACCTGAGTACTACTTTTGCTTTAATTTCACAAGCAGCCAACGCATCACACCCGAATCTTCCTTCTTTCCCCTAGAGCTGCTAACTTCAACCACCCTGAATCACCACATGGATCCCTTGCTAGCGTTGATGTGTCGTGGCAACCTCATCAAGCACTGCTCAGAGAACCTGGCTCTCTCCGGTCTAGATGGGAGGAATAATGATGGCGTGCCGTTAGAGTACCTGCGCTGACACCCGGCCCAAAAAAGGGCAAAGAACGACTCCTACGTTTGGGAGGTGGCGCGTCTTGTTCTGGCCAGCAAGGCCGACATCGATGTGAACCTCACCTTGGCTCCTAACTGTGCCGGCACCCTGGAAACTCTGCAGTAAGGTTAGATTTCCTCCGAACGGCTATACTCTTTTAAGCACCTTTAGACCAATTAGGCACCCAACACACGACTTGTTATGGACGCCCTTCCTACAGCTCTCCATCGCGCGGATGGGATCTGTGTACACAACACCGGCGAAAAATATATTTTGTGCAATCTTAGGCTATTCATGGTGGAGGACGCCAAATGGAGTGTCCTTTGAATGATCTTAACTCGAACAATCCCGAGATAGAAGCTCCTTGTAAATGAAATCTCGAGTTGCGTCGTGAACTCTGGGTGGCGTCCGCAAAGCGACCGTTCCTACTTGATTGGCGGACGCTGTTAAAAGAGATCAACGCTATCATCACTGATTCGTGCTGTAGCCAGTGATCAAGGCACGTCGCTCGAATCGATATGAAAAAACAATAACCTTTACGCCTAATTTTTTCCCCATTTGTCCATGGTGTTGAGGTCGATTCAATAAAGTTCTCCTCAATGTAAGTTGCTCTTTATCAAATCTATTTTTGCGGCTCCCACTACCGCCGTTTCGAAACTGCTTATTCACACTCATATTCAGAAAGACTAGAAAAATTTTTAGTCTAGTTGCACTGACGGCCCAGTGACGTTTAATTCGCCCATCGGCAACGTCAATTTAGCCGAGAAGAATGGGACAGAAAAAAAGTCCGCATTTCAAACTTGATTTCACCTGCGGCTCATCCTTTTTCTCGAAGTGGAGGACATTCCAGCGAACCTTGTCCCAGCAGCACCGTTGGCGGTGCATATTGGACAATACCACCGGCCTTTTGGAGCTACAGTGAGGTTTACACACGGATAGTGAAACCACTCAATCGGACAGTTAGGAGCGTCACAGGCAATCATATCTCCGTAGCTGACATCTTTGCAGAAGCAGTACTTGCTCTCGTCCACAACAGCACCGGCAGTCGTCGTTGAGGCATGGGAGTCCTGCTGCTGTCGTTGCTGTTGCTGATCCTTCAACGGCCCGGCTGGTGACTGAGCGTAACGGTGGGAGTGAGGGAGGTGATGCGGTTCACTTGAGGACACGTAACCACCCGTCTCATCGTTGGTGTCGATAGTGGAGGAGCTCATTTGACTGGGGCGACGGGAGTGGACACCCACGCGACGATTCTTGTCAATAGTGGTAGCGGCAGCCACACCGCCAACCCAACGAGGACTCTCGCCGCATTTGAGGCTTGGAGACGCAGACGTAGTGGGGTTTGTCAGCAACTCGTCGATCGATTGGTCGGTGACAACAGCACTGCCTCCGGCACCAAGAGTTACTGCTTCAGTGTCCGATGTATTCACGAAGGGGGAATAGCATGATGATCCACCGTGGTGGATTCTGCGACAAAAGATCAAATGTTAGCTAAGCTTTTGGTTGAAATTTTAGGGAATAATGAGACATCCCGTCCCTTCACATCCAAAATTACTTCTACAAAAAACACCTATGATAAGGAAGACAGCAGACACCAACGAGTATTCCAGATTCAAATAACCCCAAACATGAAAACACGTCTGGAGTTAAGGTCATATGAAGTAAGGTAATGGTATAAAGGAGGACTTCCGAAGGGGAGCTTTGGAAGTGAATAAACAAACCTGTGATGATCCATTGAAATTCCTGTAGACCGTTGAGGGGTGCCAAGCGTACGAGATCGCTTAGTGGGATCGACTAGTAAGAAAAGGAATTCGGAACTAATCCCATATGGGCTACTTTTCCAGGAGTACAGGAAAGCAAAATTCGGTAAACGGTGCCAACACGATATTTTCAATATCAGAGGAACAAATATAAAATAACAGTAGCATAGTAAAGTGTATCCTTACAATTAAGTTGGAGATCGTCTTCATCGTCATCGCAGAAGTCCTGAGAATCTGCCTGAAAGGCACCAAAGTCTTGATCTGGCATATCGTGATCTATCGAATTGGGACTTCCGGTGCTTGGGATGTGACGTAATCCGTCGGAGGTTAGGAAACGACTGTTATTTTCTGACATGAGAAAACTTGAGGCTTCTTCAGCCATGAATGACGGCCCATTCCCGCTATAGGGAGAAGGTGGAAGCAAATTCATTGGGGTGTCGAAAGCTGCGAAACGCCGCTTAAGTACGTAAAACTGCTTCTCTGGTGTCTCAAGGGAGAAGGGCGTTCTCCTCTTTGGAAGAGCACGATTAGTGTTGAAAAAGTGGCCACTGCGAAATTTCGCACGACGCTCTACAGATGATTAGGATACAATTTGCGACGTACTCTCTAGCCTATTCGCTCCAGGCATATTACGCCCAAGAAGAGTGCGAATACCTGCAGGCAAAATAAATTCAAAATTCTGATTTATCTAACGATGTTCGATTTTTGAAGTGACTCCAGAATTATCCGCCTCCAACTCCAGTCGAAATTTTTCCAATTCTGAGTCCAATTTTTTCATAACTTTTTGATACTGTACGTAAAATGAAAAGGAACATAGACAAGCGTACCGTAATGTAAATATTTTTCACGATAGCCACCTTCTTCTTTGAGTAATCTGCAGCTCTAGCAAACTCCTGACAAAAATAGATGTACAATTTTACAACACACCTTAAGTATTTGCTCGTATTCAATTCCCTTTTCTCTTTCTGATAGTCGAGATGATTTGCAGCTGTCAAAAAAGGCACTGATCCTCAGATTCAGGGAATTCATTGCATCTATTGAAGGAGGGACGCATGCAAAAATCGGTTAATTACTGTGTGCCTGGTGATCTAGATGCCTGACCGTAGTGAGCTCCTCTCGAAGGTCTGACGGCAAACTTTCAATAGCTAAGGAGCATTCTACGGTTGTTAAATGTAAACCTGCCTTCCATGAAATCATCGAAATATAGCATAATGACGACCGTTAGGCCGCCAACAACCAGAGCTTTCACACAAACTAGTGATCAAGTGTTTCATTGTCATTGGGTGGTGGAATGATGATGTCATTACTGGGCGACTAAAATTTAATTGCGAAGAATGTATTGGAAGTTAGCCGGTTAAGCAGTGCAAGTAAGATAGAGTGTTTATGGCGGCTTATCTGATTTCATTGAACTTGACCAATTTTGACCATCATTGACAAATTTCCCACACCGCATTAGAAGTTTAATTAACTTGTAGCGATCGCTTTTTGAAATAGCCATTGTTTTAGACCTGCAGCATCATGGAAATAAAATTTAGATTTAAAACACTGCTAGTAAATCTGTTAAACGAATTGTAGCGTCCCGGGACTCCCTGAAGACGAAAGAAGACACAATACTCGGGCAGAATATATATTCAGCGCAGAGAAGATGTCTGGGCTATTGGCATGGCCCAAAAGGCCAGCCCACCCAGCGAGGTACAAGGAAGCTTATTCAAGGTACAAAAGTCGCGTCTCATTAATGCCGAGGGATAAGCCACTATCGTATTACATAATCAAGGCCGAGTTTATGCAGAGCCGAGCCTTTGTTGAAGTAGTTGCAAGTC